ATTCCAAAATTTCAATTTACCAAATTTTCGGTGTTTTAAAAATGAGCTGGATTATTTAAGCAGGGCGACAATAACATTCACGAGCATGATACTGCTACAGTGCATTCTACACGGACGAAGTCGTTTTTAAAATGCCAGCAACTTACTTCATTCGGTTTAGAAACAGCATCATGCGCTCGCAACATTAACCAGTCCGACACATCAACACATTCCAATATTTCTGGATTTGTCGGTGCTGCCAGATGATTTGTTTCTCTTGTGGCGGAATCATGCTGAAGTGGGAAAGCTATGAACTGTTCATTTTTGGATCAATGAATTCCCTAGTTTTTTGTAGTGGTGCCGCTACAATGTCGAACTCCACTTTTGACAGCGCTCAAACTTATTCGCTAGAAATTTGATAAAAAACTTCCTCAAGAAAAAAAACTTCCTTAAAAGCATCCTCTACTCTCTGACACTAAGGAAAGAAACGATTTGAAAAAAAAAAATCTCAAGTCCCGACATTAAAAAACAACTCGGATAGTAAATGAGCTTTCTTACATGAAAAAAGTATTAAACCTGCTCCGTTTCAATGTAGCGTTTCGGCAACATTATGCGATCCGTATCAGAATACTGCAGTAGTTGACTCAAATCGAAAAAGTTCTGATTCGTTGCTGCTAATCCTAAAAAGTAAGATCGTCGATGCAGTGAAAACTGGAATGAATACTTTGTATAAACACCTGTCCCGCTCAATAGTATATTGACGGCGTTAAAGAAAGCTCATGAATAACAACAGCAATGATAAAATTGACTTTTATTATTATTACTATTACCAATATTATTGTTATTATTACGACTACTAATATTGATATAACAGCAATTGTAAATTATATGTCAGAGTAATATAAAGGTAAGTAAAATTTATTTTCCTCACAAGTATGCTTTAAAAAGTGGATAGTAAATTCTCCATTAGATTCTACACAGACACTTCAGAGAAATAGTTTGGCAGCGCGAGAATGGCTTACTCAGCTCGAAGCACAAGGGAGTACTCGTCCTTAATTTTCGCAAAGTATGTAAGCTTTCGTACTGATGATTTTTACGCGTTTTTTTGCATGCAAAGATTTTCACCCGCGATGTGTTACAAAGATTCCTGGTTCTTTTATCGCTTCTTAGTATATAGCTTGCTATCAGTCAGTATTGTCTGACGGAGGAAAGCAGCTGCAACCAACAACAAAGACAACAATTATTCGCGCTTAAAATGTAATTGGACTTTGAAAACATCGGTGGCTAATTCAAAGCGAATGCTAAGTGAAAATTTGCCCTTGTTAGCTGAACTGCTATCATTTTTAGAGGGGGCTTATTATTTTTTGAAGTACTGGGAAATTTAGGAAAAGTGGTGACTCTCTTTTTGCGCCAAAAGGATATTTGAGAAATAGGTAATAAATTCAGGAAATTCATAAAAAAACAAAAATTTCTAAATACGACATAAGTAAAAACAAAAATGCTACGAGCCTGATGCGGAGAATTCAAATGAGATTTTTTTCTTGTACTGCTCTTCGTGGTACCGCAAATTGTCGTTAAGCACAACATAAGATGCAAGCGTAGAGCCTTTAAAGAAATCATCTTGATCGTTTCGTTCGTTTCCGAATGTCTGGAATGAAACAGCCAATTTATCAATTTGTTCGAAAATATAGATCAATAAAACAAACAGAGATTAGTTTCTCCAGGACAATTTACGGACAATCTTTCCAAGTTGCGGTCCAAACAGCGTCCTAACCGCTACACTCCCCGGTCAAAAAATTTCAGAAAAGCTTGGTTGCTTTTATAATCCCCCCTACGCTACACGATTTGGAGCAAATTCTAACGTGCTTTCTAAATAAATACTGTATCCCTTATAGGAAC